GAACCATAAGGAAGATTGTTTGTGTTTGGAAGAAGTAGCAACATCACACAAGCTTTGAAGCTTTATTTACACAACTCATTCACTATTGAAGAACATGATTTATGGTCAAATCCTTTTGATGGAAGAGAGGATGGTGTGTCCCTATCAGATTCTGGGAAAACAGAGGAGCATGAGGTAACACGTCTATTATCAGGTACTTAACTGATCAGGACAAGCTGGAAAGAACAAAGGCAAAATTTGTTGTGGTCAAGGAAAAATCAAAGGTTTAGTGTAAGTATTGGGACCAATGCACACGTCCACCTGAAAACCTGGAGCATAGATGTCGGGTTTTAATGAGTGTTTGTCAAGGTGCTCTGAGAGACATCAGAAGCAATTCTCCTAAACAGCTGCAATGGACTAGTTTGACTACCAAAACACTCAAAAAGATAGCTCTGTTTGTTGTGGAGAGAAACTCATTCAGAAGGTAGTACCACCAAGTTTGTTGCTGAGCACAACAAACTCGCAACAGTCCTAAACAAACTTAAGTTATCCTGCAAAGATAGCTCTGATACACCCGACACAAGGGTAATAGCGCTATAAAGAAATCCAAATTTTGGTCAGCACCTTCGGCGATGCTCGATTGCGATCAGACAAGTCGTATAAGCCGAGAACATATCGCGGACTTTAAATCGATACGAAATCAGGTTAAAATCGCAACAGGCAAAACGAAAGCCGACTAGTCATCGCATAGCCTTAATCCGAAAGTAAACCCAGGTCTTTCCCTAAACCCAGCACACTGGTCTCTAACGTCTGAAGGCATGAATTGAGATCCTAAAGGCATGTCTCTTCGTTCAAATCTAAACGCTCACCGAATTTCAAAAAATTCCAGAACGGGCAAACGAACAGGGCGATCTACAAAAAGAGTTAGACTATGAGACGACAACTCGTATTCTTCCCTCTACATTCATACGAATAAAAACACGCTCTTAAAAACGAAAACTCCGATGATTCCATTAATAAAGCCGGACACGGCCAGTTCGAAAACTATAACGGCCACACTCGGCCAGAGCAAACAGCGTATTAAGCTAGTCTCAAGACCAACAAAAGGTCCAATACAAATAACTAAACTGTAAAGGTCTCACTGGGAAAAAGGTCATACGAACCTTAACAAGGCTTGATCCCTTCAATAGGGTACGTAGGCAGCCTTCACAAGGCGCAGCCCTAATCTTAAAAAAGTTTTACTATTCACTTTTGGACTTTTGGCCATTAAAGTTCCACCTAATTCTACCAAACTTGCCGAACAAGTTCAAACCGCTCACAAGAACTCTATGATTCTTACGAACTGGGGGGGCTAACTGTAGGGGTAAAAATTGGTACGACGGAATCAATGAACAAACATTTCCGCAAAAATAAAAATATGTTTAATAAAACACGAGAAGTTGTTTTATAAAATTCTAAGGACTTTCTGAACAAAGGAAATCCGTGCGAAACTTGGAAATTGTCATCTCGGAAAAACGAACGAAACAATCTCCGATTACACGATTGCCCAAGTTAAACAAAAAACCGCAAAAAAAAACCCGCATCTGCCACACTACGAGCAGATTTGACCGAACCAGTTCGCCGTGCGGCGAGCTGATCACCTGAAAACAGTGACAGAGATAAATCTATTAAATTTCGTAAGCTAATATTAACTATTTACAAAATTAAGTTAATTTCTTCTCAATTATAATAAAAGGCCTGCAAGAGTTTACAATGCTGATAACCATGGATAAACAAATGGGGGAAGATATTCTTATCAGGAAATCTTCATATACATTCACTTGGCATAAAACAAATATGAAATCGCATATTGTACAATAGGTTTTATTCCACCTCCGATTTTGAACGAAGAAAACCAAAAGCAAACAGATGAGTTTTTATTCCACCTCCAATTTTCAGACATGACACTCTTCTTTATTGTTTTTCACTATTTGTCAGACTAAGAACATGTCGACAACACTGTCATGAATCCACGACTTCTGGATATGTGCAACACATTCTCATATCCGCATTAGGTTAATGTTGTCTTGCTTCCTCAAACTCATATAATCAAAGAACACCGTATAATTGAACTGTAAAACTCAGGGACAATTAGTACTAGACATGAGTCAGAAACAACTATAACAACACATCACTGACGTAACCAAACACTTGGCTATGTCCTCATCAACTTCCTCAAAAATAAAGAGAGACCTAAAGAGATAACATAGATGATAGAACTTACCATCCAACCTTCAAAGTTGTAGGATTTGTAGATCCAGCAATTCTTCTTCGCTCATCCCGAGCTTATTTTTTGAAAAATAAAACAAAAGCTAACGTCAACAAATGTCTGTCTCAAAACAAATATCATTAGTTGTGACAGATCCCTCTGAGCCTCCAAACTCATTATCTCTCATTCGTGTACCAATTAATACCTAATTAACAAATAAAGTCGATATTCAACCACTACAGGTTTACTAACCATATGACTTAAATAGGACCTCAGTGAGTATGTAGGAGGATCTGAGACTAATTTCCCATAATTTTTTTCTTTCTTTAACAGTTTCAGCTTTGTATATCCGAACCATCTAGTGGTGACTTGTAAAACACTGACAAAAGCATTCACATTAACCAGAATCTAAGTGGGAAAAACGCGACAGCGGTTTGTGATAAAGAATGAAATCTTACCTCTTCGAAATGTGTGAGCTTGAAATATTTTGTTCTGTCCACCTGCAATCATAGCATTCGACGTTTTTTTTTGAAACCTGGAGCAGAAAGCATAAAGACTGAGTCTGGAAACAGTGTTCAAGGTTTACACTTACAGGAAAGCTTAGTATATGTAGTAGCAGAGATTGTACATAAGGCAGCTGCCGGCTCAACATTGTTGGTGTGGCCTCAGAATCAATCTGGTATCGGCCATCAGTCTTTGGTAAAAAAATAATAGGTAACCATGTTCAAATTGAAAGGCATTAAAACTATTGCACGATCACAACTTGTAGTTAAAACCGAATGGAACAAAAAATAACAAAAGTCAAATAGTCATCTTTCTTTACATGAAGAAAGACGCCATCTCTAGTACCCACCATCCATAGAAACCAGAGTATATCTATGAGACATTGCACATCTAAATATATCTCCACATATAGCAAGCTCCTCGTGACCATATAGATAGCTGTAATAGAAAAACCAAAACCATGGTGATGAAAATTTAGTTTAGATAGTCTAGAATGCTTCTTACATGAGACCAAAATTTAGAGTAGATTTTCTAAATGTCCTCTTGTGAGCTCAGTGCCAATACTGCATGATGAAACGAACTAATTATCAGTAGCTCCATTCTCCATTCTTCTTCGAGCTGATCGTTGGATATTCAATCATCATTCTCCTCCATTTGAAATATCCCCTTGAAAGCGTCAAGGGTTCCAATCATGTTTCCGGAAATCTTCATGTCTATAAACTGAGCTACCAAAGATATCTCAAGACGATAAGAAGCTAAACCATCAAACCTGCTCTGTTGTGCCAGATCTATCAAAATCCAATATCAATATATACAGTTATTTTCAAAGCATGATGATCAGTGGATATGAAACCACACTTTTAAGCTTAAGACCTAAACCAAGATTCATATTTATCTGGTTAAGAGCATTTGCGAGGAGAGGAACTGGTTTTCACATGAGATTGAGTAAGACCAACATATGTTATGTTGAAACTACTTGTTTGAGAAAGTGAAAGTCTAACGTTTCTTGAAAAGAACAACATATTTTAGATAGTATTTGAAATTAAATCTGGAACATTATTGAAGACTAAAACCCCATATATTAGTATATTAGTAGTGTGATCATTACCTTTTGTTATATACATAGCAACAAACTAAGATCCAAATCAGTTCTTGTTTTGAATTTTTACTTTGATCTTCGCGGGAAAGAACATGAACTAATCAGCACTCACCAGAGCCGCATCCTATGGCACCATGTGATACTCCGCTTCTTCATCCTCCTCATAATCACCCACCATCATCGCTTTCTTCAGTTCGTGACAGCAGCTGATGTGGGAAGCTTCTACACTTCTGTATGCCAGTGCCACTGTTGAGTATGAGATTAGTGAGTACATATGAATTGACAGACGAAAACATGGAAATATAAAGCTTTGGAGTACATGTTCATTCTTTTTAACTCCTAACGTAAGGGTTTTTTTGGCGATAATGGGAAGAGAAAGATGAAAAATAGATCGTCGCGAATGTAGAAAGGAATGTGAATATTTATTTTTGGGCTCTTTTGGGCTTTGACGGAAATGAAAAAGCATTGTATCTATATTGAGTTTTGACTTAAGCTGATGTGACATGGCAAAATAAAGGTTTTCTATTGGCTGATTTTTTGAGGTGACGTGGCATAGTTTATAGAGCTTCATATCATTCTTTTAGTATGGTTAGATATTGACACTTAATTATTATAATAATGATCTTATAAAATTATTTTTAAATAACAATAATATATTAATAAATAATATGTAGGAATATATAATAATATTAATAAAAATATAATATAAACATATTATTTGACACAATACTTTACAAAAATTTTACGCAAATACAAAAGTATAATACAATCATAATATTTTACATCAGAATAAAAGTTACATAAGCTGATATATTACACATTAGAATATATATATTACAATACCAATATTTAGGTAAATACATAAGTTGAAATATTCCACATTAAAATATATATTAAAATACTAATATTCAGGTAAATTTGGTCTTGAATCTCTAAGATCACCAAAATATTCTTGATATAAATTTGGAGCGCTCTCATCGGTTTGTTGTTGTTGAATTCTTTTTTCTATGATTCTTACTTGTTCAGATCCGATAAACTGACGAGTGTTAATATCATCGATGGAGTTTAAATATTTTAACAAGATTTTAATTTTAGTCTCCATTTCTTTTAGAGCTAATTTTTTTTGCTTGATTTTGCATGCGTAACTGAATTTTCTATAGATGATGCACTTTATTTCAAGAAATTTAGGATTTGTTCGTTTGCTGAAATCACATTATCCATAGATGAAGTATTACCTTCAGAAAGTTTTCTTTTAAGTTTTGCTTTCTTCGCTCCAATAGGACATTGTGACGAATTTGATCCACCATCATCACTGCTTAAATTGATTGAGAATGAAGAAATTCCAGGAGATTGTGATGCTGGAGAGCCGACAGTATCGCTGCCAATATCCGAGATACCGATATTGACTTTATCTGAAAACTTGGGAATATCTTTCATTAACAGCCACACATGATCAAATTTAAAACTTTTTTTTTTAGTTTTGGGTCTTCCATCAATAGTTTCTTTTCTTTTTCCATCTGCAAACATTTTTTGAATTAAAGAACATGATTAGATACATAAACACGAATAAAAATATATAACAAATACTAATAGAATTTATACTTACAATGTCTTGATCGGATGCGCCACTTGGATGCATATTTTGCACTTGGATCACACAGCTCTTCAAGTTTCTAACAGCATACAAAATAATATACATCCTACTTTTTAAAGACTTATGACTTCTAATTTTGCCAACTCTCTTTTTTTCTTTCTATTTTTCCCATTGTTTCTTCATAGTTTGATTTTTTGCTAGCAATGAGATCTTGTGAAATTTCTAAATATATATAACATAACAACTCATCTTCTTGTTCGTTAAATGATGTGCTTCTATTTTTTTTTCCATTTTTTTAAACAAGAGAAAAAAACGAATGAGGGATGGAAAAATGTGATTTAGTAAAATGTGATTTTTCATTTGGTAAAACCTATTATTTATATACAAAAAATATGGTTGGATGTTATCTTATCTACTAAATATGGTTGGAGGTTGGATAAGAAAATTACAAAATTTCATCTAATGGTTGATGAGACAAAAAATCTATTGAATGATGTGGATCAATTGAATATAGTTGGAGGATGAAGGGTAGATAAAAAATTGACAAAGTTTTATTTTAATGGTTGATGAGACAAGAAATGTATTGAATCGCCTACTAAATGAGGTTGGGGGTTGCAGATGGTTTGAGGTTAAAGGTTAGATAAGAAAATGGCACAGTTTCAATTTAATGGTTGATGACACATAGCAATATTTATTTATATATATATACATGCATTTTCATCTATGAACATATCAACAAAACATCTTATAAAAATGAATTTTAATATCGAAAATTTATCTTATCAAAATTTATCTTCTTCTTCTTTTTCTTCTTCTGACTCATCTGAGTTTGATGAATGAATTATTGATGAAAATGAAACAATAGAGAGGGAACAACAAATTGCAGCCAATTTTTTTAATCAACAACAATCGTCTTATTCACCAGCTTAATCATGAAAATAATCATGCAAGTTAGCGTGGTTTGATTTTCGGTCATGCAGTTATATTCGTGATAGAGAATATGCACATCGTAACTTGTACAATGAATTTTTTGATAATCATGTGTACAGTGAGAGGAAGTTTCATCGTCGATTTAGAATGTCACGAAAGTTATTTCTTCACCTTGTCGATGCCGTCAAGCAACATGACAACTACTTCAACCAACGACGTGATGCATCTGGTAGACTTGGATTATCAACTTTACAAGAAGTCACAGCCTCTCTTCAGATCTTGGCATATGGCATGCCTGCTGATGCGACCGATGAATACATTAAATAGAAAAGTCTACAGCAACTGAATGCATAAAAAGATTTAGTCGTGCAATTGTATATGTCTTTTCAGAGTGGTGTCTCCAGCCACCAACATCAGAGAACGTTTCCATACTTCTCAATATTGGCCAACAACGCGGATTTCATGGAATGTTAGGCTATCTTGATTGTATGCATTGGAAGTGGAACTCAAAAAGAGAAAATGTAATTAACATAACTTAGTGTTTTTTTTGAAAAGTAACTTAGTAAAATAATTGGAGTTTTCTGGTCTCAAAAATATAAATCCATTGAAACTCAGATCTTTCAAAAAAAAAAAAAACCCTTACATTTAAACTGTTTTAATCTCCAACTTTTAAATAATATCCATTTTAAATCTCGGTTTTTGTCGACCAATCTATTTCAGATACGAAGAGTCTAAAAGATCTGAAATTTCTTTGTATGATTTATGTTCCCCTTTACAACGTGATCTCTCAATTACATATATAAACTCTAAAGTCATTAATAAATATTTACAATCTTAGTCCATAACTATTGTATAATTGCAATATAGCCCAATACCCTCCCTTAAGTTGGAGCATGGAGATCTCGAATGCCCAACTTGGGCAAGATCGCTTGAAAAGGACGTCCTCCAAGCGCTTTCATAAAGATATCTGCCAATTGATCTGTTGTTGGTTCATGATTAGTACGTAAAATTCCTGCTTGTATATCATCCCTAATGAAGTGACAATCTGACTCCACATGTTTCGTTCTCTCATGAAACACAAGATTATCTGCAATGTGAAGAGCAGATTTACAATTACAATACATATCCATCGCACCTACGTGTACAATACCCATAGATGATAACACACCCTTAATCACTTCAACTCCTTCAATGCAGCAATCATAGCTCTATATTCTATTTCGGCTAATGAAAGAGCCATAACATCCTGCTTCTTTGACCTCCAAGATACATGAGAGGATCCCAATTGTATTAACCAACCATTCAAAGATCTCCTGGTAATCGGACATTCAGACCAGTCTTAATCACACCACAATGTGAGATGAAAATTACAATCAGCTTTCAGTAAAATTCTCATTCCAGGACACTTTCAAATACCGAACAACTCTCAGTGTAGCTAACCAGTGATCCTCCTTGGTTTCTGCATAAACTGAGACAAAATATGAACATAATACGCAGTATCATGTCTAGTCGCAGCCAAATAAATCAATCCCCAACCAATCTTCGATATTTCTCTGGATCATCAAGTGTCTTCTCTTCAAATCGCCCCAACTGATGGTTCTGTTCCATGAGAAATTCCACCGGTCTACCACCAAGCAACCCAACATCAGAAATAATATCCAATACATACTTTCTTTAGGACAAATAGATACCTTATTTGCTGCGTGCAACTTCTATTTCCAGAAAATACTTAAGTTTTCCCAAATCCTTCATATGAAAACAACCACTCAAATATCCTTTAAACTCTCGAATAGCTTCTGGTGAGTTTCCTGTTATCACAAGATCATCAACATACACCAGAACATGCAACTGAACTTTAGCATTCACCAACGAAAAAATAAGTAATCTGACTTATTCTGTGTAAAACCAAACTTTAAACGAGCTTTTGAAAGCTTGGCAAACCAACACCTCATAGCTTGTTTCAAACCATAAATATCTGTGCAACCTGCATACCATTCCCTTTGTAGAAGCATCGAAACCCTGAGGTAGCCTCATATACACTTTTTCCTTCAATTCTCCATGAAAAATGCATTGTGTACATCCATCTGATGAAGTTCCCAGTTCTTTCCTGCAGCAATCTGAAAAACCAATCTAATTGTACTCATTTTTACCACAAGGGAAAATGTTTCTTTGTAGTCAACTCCTTCTTCTTGTCGATTACCACAAGCAACAAGTCTAGCCTTATATCTTCAAATCGATCCATCTGCATTATACTTTATTGTGAATACCCACTTGCATTCAATCACCCGCTTACCATAAGGTAAAAATTGAGTTGACCACGTCTTATTCTTCTCTTGAGCCTCGATCTCAACCCTCATTGTTTCTCGCCATCTTGGACATTTCATTGCTTCAGAAAATGTCCTTGGCACAGTTCTTTCTGTTACACTAGCCAAAAATCCTCTATGTGACTCAGAAAATCTATCACCATTTACAAAATTTGCAATTTCAAATTCTGAACTTCCATGTGGATACACAGTAGATAAAGACATAGGAGCAGGAACCACTGTGTTAACCACATAATCACGTAGCCTGACAAAAACTTCTTTGTTTCTCATACCCCGTCCTAACGTTGTATCTAATCCACCAGTCTCCACATGTGTGTCTCTCAAAGGGTCAGATTGTGTTCATGTCTCAGCATGAGTCACAACTACGGCCTCTGTTTCATACTCAATCGCTTCCTCTGACACAGTTATAGGTTGTTGCACATCATTTTCAACAGCTGTTGTGACTTCTTCTGGAACTATGTCACACACTGAATCATGTATCTCAACTGCTTCTTCAAATCTTCTTTCAAATCTAGACTCATCCATAAAGTGAGAAATATGACTCAATCCATCATGTATAAACACACTTGATTCTCTGTGAGCTTCAAAGAAGAAAAAATTATCTTCGATGAAAGAGTCATCTCGAGAGATAAATTCTTCCCGTGTTTCTAAATCCAACATATTTCACCCTTTCTTTGCATAAGGGTAACCAATAAAAAAACATTTTCTACTACGACTAGCAAACTTATCGCCATGATGCTTCTGATTATGAGCCTATGCGAGACATCCAAAGATACGTATATCCCCATATGTAGGAGCTTTCCCAAACAAAAGTCTCATAAGGACTTCTTCCCTTGTGTATCTCACACGACATCCTATTGATTAAATGTGACGCACCCAACACATAGTGACCCCAAAACTCTATAAGTAAACTCGCTTGAAACCTTAAAGCTCATGCCACATTCAATATGTGCCTATGTTTTCTCTCAACTCTTCCATTCTGTTGGGGTGTACCCACACACGATGTCTGATGAATCACTCATAATCTATAAAAGTAGTCTCTCATCTTCAAAAACTCGCTACCATTATCACTCCGTACAATCTTCACTTGCTTATTAAATTGTCTCTGAGCTAAAGCAAAGAAGTCCATCATTGTTCTTTCAACTCAACTCTTTTTCACAAGGAGGAATACCCAAACAGCTCTAAAATAATCATCCACAATCGTAATAAAGTAAGAAAAAATATTTAAGCTAGGCGTCCAATACAGTCCCCATAAATCATAATGTATCATCTCAAAGCATTCTTTGCTTTTGTTCAAACCCAGCGGAAACTCACTTCTACATTGCTTCGCTTTGAAGCACATGTCACATCCAGATACTCCATTACTTTCACTATCAACACCAGGTAATTTCCTAATTACCTTTTCAGAGGCATGTCCCATTCTCTTATGCCAAAATTGTAAGGATTCAACTTTAGCTTCTCTCTTAACACTTCGAATATGTTTAATACCTTGAAAAAAATACAGTCTTTCTCTTCTTTCACCCGTTCCAGTCACCATCTGCACACCAACATCATACAGAAGACATCCTGTCTTCGAAAACAATACAATGCAGCTCAACTCATCGATCAACTGTGACAACGAGATGAGACTACACTTCAAATCTTCCACAAAAAGAACTCGAATCAACCTCATATTTTCT